AATGCAATAGCAGATCCAAATTCTCCCAGGAAATACCATTTAAAGTGAGACTCATGGAACATTTCCCTCCCAACCCAGAAGAAAAACAACCAGTAAAAATTTTAAATTCAGATTTTAAATTTAAAACCCCAATCCAAGAACCATGCATGCACAGAAGAGCAGGAAAATTAAAATGAGACTCATGGAACATTTCCCCCCCTCCCAACCCAGAAGAAAAACAGCCAGTAAAATTTTTAATTGCAGGTTTTAAATCTAAAATTCCAAATCCAAGAACCATGCATGCATAGAACAGCAGGAAAATTAAGGAAAAGGCATGCACAAAAAACCCCTTGCAATTTACTGTATCCAAAAATAAGAAAATAAAAATACCTGGAGGACTTATGCAATAAAACCCACCACCCACACAGGAGTACAAATGCAAAGTTACCTTCTGCTGGCCAAGTTCTCCAGAACAGACCAAAGTTGCTCCTCACCAAGTCAGCCCTGGAACTCCATGTGTAAAATAGCACAGGATGCATTGGGGAAGGATTTTTAAACCTTCCCCCCACAAGGCACAATGCATCCTGGGTATTGACTGTTTAAATTTGAAAGAAAACAACAACAGGGAAAAACACCCTGGAGGCAGTCACATTGCAAAACAGCGACCGTTAAAATGCCATTTAAGCTAAGCACGACCCCCAGGCTGTTTAAATCATCGCTAAGTGAAACAAGGGACCCAAAATGTAATCACTATGCGAAGCATGGTCCCACCATTGCTAAGCAAAAATCGCCCATAGGGACCATCATTAAACGAAGCGCAAAAACACTACAAAAAAGTCGTCGCTAAGCGATTTCGTTGTTAAATGGAGCAATCGCTAAGCGAGGCACCCACTGTATTGAAGTTTTGCTTGTTGTTTAGGCAACCTGAGGCTATTCTTCATAATTGAACCCACTGTTCTCTTAACACTGCACATAAATAATATATCATCTTGGAATGGGATTCAGACAAAAGTTAGTCCTCCTTCATTGTTAATTAAATTAGTAATGACTTTTTGTTTTCATTAATTTAATGGAGGATAAAATGTAATGACCTTAGTTTGGCCTTCAAGCTGTATTTGCTCTTGTAACCCCTAGAAAAGTATATGTGTTTGTTGATGCCTTGGAAGATACAGCCTTATCAGTCTTCTCCAGTTTTCTGCAGAGATTTGTCTTCAGTAGGACTTTCTGCTTCCATTATTGGTTCTTCTCTTTCACTGTGTCTTTCATCTGTACTGATGGGTGTTAGTCAAAGATTCCAAGAGCCTTCAAATAACTATCAGGCCACCACTTCACTAGCCATGACATACATACTGCATTTTGTATGTTAAAAGAATTATTTGTAAATGATTCAAGTGCTATTACAAATGTAAGGCTCTTATTTTTTAAAAAAGTTATTGAAGGGTATCTCAGTATTGATTTTCACATTCTGTTTGAAGGTGTAGAGGTTGACTAGCCTTGCCCATTTTTGTTCCCATAATGGTAGAAAAATAACCTTGCATGAAGAAGGAGGTTGTGAGAAGACATAGAAAAGTAGTGCCTTCATTTCCATACGAGCTCGCAATTTATTCTGTGATGGTTTGGTGGAAGCTGGCTTTTCCCAGATACCAACCAGATAGTTTATAGTACTAAGCAAAATAATAAATGTAGGTTAAAATTGTATAGTACACTTTTCTGTTCTGAACTGCCCTATTCACTTTAATTTGAGTGTATTTTGGAACATTCATTGTTTAGGAAGTCCAAAGACGGGTTGCAGGAAGATTTCCTTTTTCCCTGAGGGTTCCACTACATAAATGTATTTTATTTTCCAGCATGTAGATGTAGCAGCTTTACTAATAAAGTATAATGCGTGTGTAAATGCTACGGACAAATGGGCTTTCACACCTTTGCATGAAGCAGCCCAGAAAGGAAGGACACAGCTTTGTGCCTTATTATTAGCACATGGAGCTGATCCTACTCTGAAAAACCAGGAAGGACAAGCGCCATTAGACCTAGTCACCGTAAGTGATGGGATTTTTTGAGACGTCTGTATTAAGCTTCAGTTCCTGGCTACTAATCAGGACATCAGATTTGTGAGTTTGTAAACTTCCAGTTGCTGTGTTCAGCTATAAGCTAAAACAAATTCAGTAGTTCCTCAATATTATGTGGAAATGACACAAGGAATTCCATTAAGGTGTGGCTTTTGGAATTATATTGTTCTGAAAGGAATAAGTAAGAAACTACAGATTATGGAATTTCTGGTCATTGTATTATGTTTACTTTAACTCTCAGTGTTCTGCCTAGTATGTTCTGGGTCATTTTATGCCCTCCCTGTTTGAACTAAAAATACTTTTGCTAAAAGTACCATTACCTTAAGCCTGGCATATGGGGGGGGGGGAATTAGTGGCAACGTGGCAATTATGTTTGGTCTGCTAGGTCTTGATAAACCTCTTGCATGTACCACGTACCCGAAACTTCCCCTAAAATTTACCAAGCCACTGCACGTTCTTATTGAGGTGTATTTGTTTTGTGTCACACGTCTTGTGCAAATATAACCGTAACCCAAATTAAAATCTTTTAAAATTATGCAACATTTGATAGTCCATAACAAAGTAGAAATCTATGTATTTGATCATATTGGACTAAAGACGTTTTACAATAAATTTAAATAAAGGATCTTTCGCCTTTCAGAAGTTTATGTGGCAGGTACATGAGATTAATTCATCAGATGAATCTATACTTTCACTGCAACAAGCTTCATTCATCTGAAATATATTCACTGTGAAATTAATAAATACATCCATCTGGATCCAAAAAACAAGCAGGATTACTGTTTTACTGTCATGTCACAGGTTATATACTTCTGTACGATGGGAATTTATGGATGTTCTTAGAAGTAGAATCCTGTCACTGTCTACTGAGAAGTCCCATTGAGTCATGGGATTTAATACTCTACCATATTATTTGCAGAGTACAAAATAAATTTTCTGTTATCTCTGCAGCACAATTGTGAGATTTGCATTTCTCTCTGGAGGACTCAACTTATTTAATGCATTTCTGAGTATTTTAATTATATAGTAATGTTTATTTGTTTATTTGCAATTTTCAGGCAGATGACGTAAGTGCATTATTGACAGCTGCCATGCCACCTTCTGCCTTGCCATCTTGTTATAAGCCTCAGGTTATCAACGTGTCTCAGAATACAGGATCTTCAGCTGATTCACTGTCTTCCATTCCATCCAGCCCATCTAATTTGTCCGCTCCTAGTAGTGCTGACAACTTGTCTGGTAGCTTTCCCGAACTCTCTGTTGTTGGTACAAATGGTGCTGAGGGAGCCACCGGTTTAGAGAAGAAAGAAGGTAAGACTTGTTTTTTCCATTGCATTGGGTTAGTCACTTCAAAAATACATCACTAGTAAAAGACTGCACCATCATGCGTTGTCATCACACCTGATAATTTATCTTCCACCGATTCAGTATAGTCTAGCTTTAGATAGATACAGAGTTTTAGATACTTCAGATATTCAGCTGCAATATATTCAGTGAAATATATGTGTGTAATTGAATCCTACATAAATATATATGTTAGGAAATCATATCTTCAGTTTGTGACATTTTCACATCTCATGTATCATCTGGGCAATATGTTGAAATTTCAACGGGATTGGAAGGTTTATGTGTTGAATTTACTTTTGGTTTTCAGTCACAGTATCATGTACATTCAAAAACATATTTGGAGTTATTTCTGAAGTAGTTTTTAGTCTTTGTTAACTGGATTTGTGGACAATAAAACTACAATCAAATTTATTAAGCTGACTGCATTTAGATGCATTTTGATTTGCTTGTATTACATCTATGACAAGCTTATACTTAAGCTTATTTCTTTCAACAAATGCTGCATCTTCCTGATGTTGGATACATCCATGAAATTGTTCCTTACAGATACTCTTTATTAATGTAATTGGCAAAGCCTGTAAAAGCACTTGTTCAGTCAGTATGTACTTGGCTTCTATATTTTTTTTCTGTTCAGTTCCAGGGGTAGATTTTAGCATAAATCAATTTGTGAGAAATCTTGGACTTGAACATCTGATTGACGTATTTGAGAGAGAGCAAGTAAGTCACTACAGTGAATGAAACAATGTATGTACAGTATTTTTAGGGAAACAAATGAGGACTTTTATTTTGAGAGAAGTCGTAGTTGTGCACACTTTTCTCTTATTCTGTTCCACATTGAACAGTTCTTGCAACCACAGGCTTAGTTCAAGTTATGTATGCAGAGATAGAGACAGTTTACATTTCCTCAGTTCTGAGGTTGATCTCTTAATCCAACCATTAATGGTAATAGGATCCCTACTTTCCTGCTGTACTGGCTTTTTACTGGAGATTTTTTTATGAGCAAAGTATATTTACATGTAGCAGTTTTTCACTGCATGAAGTAAATTGAGTTCCCTCTCTTTTGGAAGGTGAATATAAATTCTAATAGTTCTAGCAGTAATAGGAAGAAGAGTTTTGGTGTAGTAGTAGTGATTGTTAGTTTCTACATGCAGACAGTTACAAGACTAGATATTAGCTTGACAATTCTAGCTAACTAGTTCTTTAAGCACTTCTTTAGTGCAGGAGAGGTCTCAAGGCCATTTCGCACACACACCATTTCCAGGTCTGCTATAGACCTCAGGAGTGCTGCATGTGTAAATGTGGCTTCTAGCACCACTCAAATCGCCTACCCCACGTTAGTGCTTAGAAGCAATGTTTTCATATACATAACGTATTTAATTGTGAGGCATTTATACAAAACTTCATATATTTTTTTAAATAGATAACATTAGATGTGCTGGTTGAAATGGGTCACAAAGAATTAAAGGAAATTGGAATTAATGCTTATGGCCATAGGCACAAAATAATTAAGGGCGTTGAAAGACTGATTTCAGGACAACAAGGTATGTTGTTACAACTACATATATTATTAAATAATGTACATATATACATAATTTGGTAATTGTAGCAAAGGGAATTTCATTTGTTCTGCGAGTTTTGTATTAGATTTGCAAGAACCACACTATATTCTGTTTACTTTATTCTCAACCCAGGTTCTGGAGATCTGCCCACTTATGTTAAATTCTACTGTTTATAAATACAGGCCGAAATCTAGTAGAGTAGGTCCATTGAATCAATGGAACTTACATAGGTGTTGACACACAAAGACCTTACTGGTTCAAATTCACTGGGCCTACTCTAACTGTGTTTTACTGCTGGATTTCGGCTATGCACACATTTGTGTGTCAGATTATTTTTCTTACATAGTCATATACTCGAGACATCTAAAGAGGCACTTCTTGTTTTGTTGCTGCTGTTTTAAAAGTGCACCTTGTTTTGTGATTATTTGTAATTGAGATACCTACATCTAAATATTTGCTAAAATTATCACATTGTATTTTCTTGTAGGTCTTAATCCATACCTAACTCTCAATACTTCGGGAAGTGGAACAATCCTTATAGATCTCTCTCTTGATGATAAAGAATTTCAGTCAGTAGAAGAAGAGGTATATATAGTTTGGTTCGTATTCCACATAGAAAACTACCTCTAGTATTTTTCAGTTCTGTTCCTATATAGTATAATCTCATTTAACTCATTTTTCTGCCATGGCTAATTCCACTTTACACCTACAGTGCTCCTCTTCCCATTTGCATTGATTTATTTAACCATATGAAGAATTCCAAGACAAAACCACATTTATACAGAAGTCCTGATGTGCAGGCCTTTTGCTTCACTTCCTTCCATCCTTTCTACAAGCGTGCAAATAAACTGGGAAGCTACAGTTGATTGTTGCTTTGCATCGCTTCTTAACCAGGGACCCAGATAGTGGCTTCCAAACCATCTGGGATTTGGAAACGAGTTTTAAATCATGGTGTCAGATCCAGACTTGTTCAAAAGTCATAGTAATTAATACAATGGTGCCTCGCTTTACGATTGCCCTGTTTAACAATGAAACTGTATTACGATGAACTTTTTGCAGTTGCAAAATGATGTATCCTATGGGGGAATTTCGCTTTGCAATGATCGGTTCCCTGCTTCGGGAACCGATTCTTCGCAAAACGATGATTTTCCAACAGCTGATCGGTGGTTTCAAAATGGCCACTGGGTAAACAAAATGGCCCCCCGCTGTTTTCTGGGACAGATTCCTCGCTGCACAGGCAGCGAAAATGGCCGCCCTATGGAGGATCTTCGCTGGACGATGAGTTTACAGCCCTTTGGGACGCATTAAACGGATTTTAATGCGTTTCAATGGATTTTTTCTTTTCGCATTACGATGTTTTCGTTCTACAGCGATTTCACTGGAACAAATTAACGTAGCAATGCAAGGCACCACTGTAGTTAATTAAAGCTTCCTGACTCAAGGGGAAGGAGAAAAGGTGCTGTATGCAGGTACACAAAACTGAAATAATGCACTGATAGACGAACACATGTTGTTACCTTGTGAGTACCGTTCAGCAAAGACCAACATAATGCTTAATGATTATGATATGTGAAGATGAGTTTTGAGCAGGATGGGCAAAGTACAGCCATCCAGATGTGGATGGACTGCAACTGCTTTTAGCTCCCTTTTACCACTGGCTGTGCTGGTGAGGGTTCTGGGTTACAGTCCGACAATATTGGAGTTGGTACATTTTGCCCACTTGTGAATTGCAGGTCCCACAGAGTCAGTGTGTGCACACAATCAGTTCTCCATGTGAAATAGTTTCCACATCACATAGCTGCTGGCTGTTTGCATTCAGCTTATAAAGTTTGACAGAAGAATCATAACATCTACAGTATTATAGGAGCATAGATTAGTCTCAGCAGATCTTAATTTATTGTGTTTTTTAAAAAAATATTTCCACTTAATCTGCAGATGCAGAGTACTGTTCGAGAGCACAGAGATGGTGGGCATGCTGGTGGGGTTTTCAATAGATACAACATCTTAAAGGTAATATATAGAGATCACTCACTCAGAATTCATTGTCTATGACCTTGATTGCAGGTAAAGCGCTTGAAATAGTGTCTTCTAGTTTACCTTGACTTTTGCCCTTCCTCGTCCACCCCATGAAGAATATATATTTTTCATTCACAGTTTGTAGATATTCTTCTCTGACTCTTAAAAATATATGACATGAGAGTGGAAACTCCTTCCTTGCAATGTTTCTTGAAAAGCCATTATAGTTAATGGGTATCAGAAAAAAGGAATGGATTGTCCAAATGGGGAAATGGATTTAATGAATGTTACGGTATTTGAAAACTAGTAGCAATGAGACTTAAAGCACAATCTGATGGCAGTAATAGGCTTTTACTGTGTCCATCAATTAGTAATTAGCAAAATAACCAGATACATATAATTTTCACATCACTCCAGTAAGCTTAGTATAGGTTATATAGGAATGTTATTCTGAGGAATGCAAAAAAAAAATGTCCTATCGATATTAGACACTGCTACAAGTATTGTTCTTTCTATTTTAAATATGTTTGAGCAAATAAAAGGTTGACTGTTATGTTTTGATGAGAATTTATTAAGCATTTAGAGCAGCAGAACAAAGTTATTAGAAAACATGGTTCTTCGTGGCCTCTGTGAATGCACAAAAATGGGTTTTACTGTGCCTGCACAGGACTCCTCGGAATATTCTAGAGCTTAAAAAGACGTAATTAGTAGGATGTTGCCCTGTGGTGCGCATGCTCTGCCCGCCCGAAATACCTCAGTTCCTTTTAGCCACCACTGAAATCGGACTCCTGTAGCGACTTCTAGAGCAATTGTGTGATTTTATGATCTTACAGTTTTAATGATCTTTCGGAATGCTTAACATTTTCGATTCTTGGATCACGGATTTAATCAAGTTTTTTATTTACGGATGTTTCCCTGTGAGTTATCTCTTCTTTTTCATTTGTTCTGCGAGTTTGTCTCCAAGTCATGGCCGTTCCGAGGCTGATGTCATATCCAGCCCGGCCTCGGCCCATTCTACCGTGTTTCGACTGAGTGGGCGACTGTCATCCATCTCTCGAACTCGGAGGCATCAGTCTCACAGTCCCCTCTGTGTAAGAGGGCAGCAAAGCGTCACCACATCTCCCCATCTTCTCAGTATTGGGAAGTAATCCTTGTCCCGCATCCGTCTCAACACCATGTCCTTTCTGAATATGGAGACCCTTTTTATGAGTTTGGTTGGCACGGTGATCACTGCCGATACTATTTTGACAAATTTGATCCACAATGTGAACAGGACTATTACGAGTGTCCCAAATGTATTCATTATGCTTACGTTCTATCTGAGTCCTCTCCATCACCGTCACTGCCTCAGAGTCAACACCAAGCTTGTTATGAGCTCAATCCTATGGTACCGGTTTCTAAGAAGTCTGCTAAACATAATCTGTCTAGCTCTGAAATACTGTGACACGATCCAGCTCCATCTCACAAGCCATCTCGACACGAGCCTGTCCCATCCAAGCGCTCAAGCACTTCTACGGTGCAATCGGTTTCGACGTTGGACCCGACTACTTCTTTACCTGGATCTCGCTCTGCCCATCAATTCCCAGCATCAATCCCTCTTGTTCCAACTTCTCGGGCTCGTCATCACTCTTCCTTTACAACTCTTTCCATCTCTGGAGATTCTTCTGTTTTGCCGGTTTCTGAGCATGATCCTCCCTCTGAGGCTTCCAGGGAGTCTCCTTCAAACTTACCAACTTCTGATTTGGATGTTGCAGATGTTCATCCTTCGTCCCCATCTGAGGACTTTACGTCTTACTCTCAGCTCATCCTTCGCATGGCCAAATCATTGGAGCTTGATATCGAACAAACTCCTCCTCCCAAACACGGCCTTGTCTTTGTTCACATAAACCAAGATAAATCCCCCCCATTGAACTTGGCATTCATTCCAGCTATGTGGACTTTGTTAAAGAATCATGGGACAAACCATCTACAGTGGTGCCTCACTTAACGGGCGCCCCGTTTAACGATGAAATCGCATAGCGATTAACTTTTTGTGATTGCTTTGCGATGTTCCCTGTGGGGAAAAATCGCTTTGCGATGATCAGTACCCTGTTTCGCTTACCAGTCATCGCAAAGTGATGATTTTTAACAGCTGATCGGCGGTTCCAAAATGGCCACCGGGTAAAAAAATGGCTGCCGTTTTCTGGGACGGATTCCTCGCTTACTGGGCAGCGAAAATGGCGCCGTATGGAGGATTTTCGCTTAAAGGAGAGACTGAAGCACATAGGAATGCATTGAAGGGGTTTCAATGCATTCCTATGGGCTTTTTAGTATTGTATAGCGATGAAATTGTTTTGCAGCGATTTTTGCTGCACCGATTATCGTCGCTATGCGAGGCACCACTGTGCATCCCTACAGATTTCTAGATGTGTTGAGAACCACTACCGCATGCACGTGATAGACACAGCGTTCTTGTCAAACATCCTCCGCCTAATTCCATCATAGTACAATCAAATCAGTCCTGAGCCGGTAATCGGTCCTCAGTAATTCCTACTAACAAGGAAGCGAGAAAGCTGGACGTACTAGGTTGTCATCAGTATTCTCTGGCATCTTTCATTATGATGGTCTCAAACTACCAGGCTGCAATGGGGGCCTATCACAGGCAACTGTGGAACAAGATCCTTCCGGTCCTTCAGTCTGCTCCTGACGAGACTAGATCCAGTGCCCTCAATACTTACCTTGAGGCCACTACCTTGGCTAAACAGCAATGTTTAGCATCTCGCCATACGGCTGATGCTGCGTCAGTCTTTGGTGCATCTCGCCATATGGCTGATGCTGCCTCAGTCTTTGGCTTCTGCTATTGCCCTCGGCATGCATGACTGCATTCCACAGGGATCACTGATGAAGACCCACATTGAGGGTTTTTCCTTTGATGGTGTCGGCCTCTTCAGCGATAGAACCAACGAGGTGATGGATAATTTGCATAAAATTCGCAAGACTGCCCATTCTTATTCAACTCAACAACCCAGATATCAACGTAATCAGTGGCGTAGGCCTTTCACATTCATTCATTCATATCAGCAGCCCTACTGCCCTTACAAACCTCCAACTCCGGCTCCTGAGAGATCCAGCTTTCCTCAGTCATCTTCTTCTGCTCCTCCTTTCCAGTCCCAAGCTCCGGCACAGCATAGACAAGCCTTCCATCGACCTGCAAGAAGAAATAATCAGTATCTTTGACTTGATTTCTCTAAATCTGATTCCCGACTGTCCACATCATCCCCAGCTGGCTCCCTTTTTCGACAAGTAGTCCATTGTTACCAGGGACGCTTGGGTACTCACTGTCATATGTTACGATTACCTATTAGAGTTTACGTTACGGACACCCCTCCATTTGGTTGTCTCCAATATACAGCTTACTCACCTGCCCTAGAGAACGAAATTTCTCTTCTCATTCAGACACATGCTATCCAACGAGTACCTTCCCAAGATGTTCTAAACGGTTTTTATTCTCGTTACTTCGCTGTCCCCAAACGCGATAGAGGCCTTTGCCCCATCCTGGACTGCAGCTTCTCAACACCTACATCTGTCCGAGATGCTTTCGCATGGTCATCCTAGAATCCGTTATTCCACTTCTTTCTCCAAACAATTGGTTTGTGGTCGTAGATCTACAAGATGCATACTTCCATCCACGAACGTCACTTCAAGTATTTTCATTTTCTCTTCTTGGACAGAGCTTACCAATTCTGTGCCCTACCCTTCGGGCTGTCCACCGCTCCAAGAACTTTCACAAAGTGTATGGCTCCTGTGGCTGCTTATCTTCGTCTGGACAACATCACAGTATTTCCGTATATAGATGATTGGGTGATAGTAGCAAGATCATACAGTGCAGCCCAAAGGGATTCTACCTTGGTTCTTCAGACCCTGGCAGATCTCGGCCTGCAAGTCAACTTCAAAAAAACCTCATCTCGAGCCATCTCAGACCATGGATTATATTGGGGCACATCTCGAATCCATCACAGCCAGGGTATTTCCCCCTTCAGAAAGAATACTCAAGGCGAGCCATTCGCCCCTTTTGGCGTTGTGCCACACTCACCGCTTAGCATACACAGCACCTGCTAGGTCTGATGGCTTCAACTATGTCTGTACTCCAACACGCATGACTGAAGATGCGGTCCTTACAGGCTTGGTACCTGTCCCAGTTCGACCCTTTGCTAGACCATCCTTCCAAGCATCTACTGGTGATCCCAGAGTTAGCTTACCAACTTGCCTGGTGGACCTTTGTCCCTCACCTCCTGGTGGGCCACCCATTCAGGCTTCTCTAGCTCACATTACAGGTCACAACAGATGCCAATCAGATAGGATGGGGTGCACACTGCAATCATCACGAGATCCACGCTTCATCAGGCTCAGAGAGACTGCTACACATCAGTCACCTAGAGTTGCTAGCAGTCGTTAAATCTTTCCGAGCTTCCCACTTTCTCATAGCAGGTTGTGGCATCCAGGTCATCACAGACAATATGACCACCCTGTATTATATTAACAAACAGAGTGACCCTCATTCTTTAAATCTTCTATATTTAGCGATTCAGCTGTGGGAATGATGTTACGATCACCATGTCTTTCCTGTGGCTCTTCACGTGACTACAGAGAACAATTGAGGTTGCAGACTGTCTGAGCCATCTTACCAATCAAACCCACAAGTGGACCCTCGACTATACCGTTTTCTCTAGTCTCTGCAGTCAGTGGGGAACACCAGGTCTCGATGTCTTCGCCACTCAGGTCAACTCCAAATGCAACAGGTACTGCTCTTGAGCAGGAAGAGAAGATAACTCTCTAGGCGATGCTTTCACGGTGGACTGGGGCGACAGCTTTCTTTATCTCTTTCTGCCCATTCCTCTCATCCAGCGAACGATAGTCAGGCTCCGTCAGCTGAGCTCCAATGACATTCTAGTAGCACCATGGTGGCCTCAACAACCATGGTTCACCACTCTCAGAGCCATGGCTACCGACTTCCTGAGATTACCTCTTTAACCGTCCCTTTTGACTGAGGACGAAGGCTGAATTTGTCATCCCGACCTCGACTCTCTACCTTACAGTGTAGAGAATTCTCCCGCCATGGCTGAAGTTCTAGATAGGGCTGGGAAGCCCTCTACTCAATTATTAAATTCGTATAAGTGGAACGCTTTCATCAAATTTGCTGCATCGTGGAAATTGCCCACAGTTCCAGTTTCCTTGGACACCCTTCTCAAGTTCCTTTGTTATCTGTTTGACCAAGGTTTGGCTCATTCAGTGTTGAAAGTTTATATTTCTGCTATAGTTTCGTATCAGCCTGTGGGGTCTTAGGCCTCTTGTTTATTTTCTCATCCTAACTTGAAAAATGTTCACGGAACATGCGCCCACCTACATAGCCTCCACTTCTGCAGTGGTCTCTCCAGGTTGTTCTCTGTGCACTTGCTCATCCTCCATTTGAGCCCATGGCCTCTGCGCATCTCAAACTTCTTTCCATCAAGACTTTGTTCCTTGTGGCTATAACTTCTGCGCGTCGAGCAACAATGCCCCTTATATTCAGTTCAAGCTGATGCCCCTTATATTCAATTTTACCCAGACAAGATTGTATTATATCCAGATGTACCCTTTCTTCCCAAAGTGATTTCAGATTTTCATGTTAATCAACCGTTAATCCTTCCAACATTGTTTCCAAATCCCTCTTCTGAAGTTGAGCACATGCTCCACTCCCTCGATGTTCATCATGCCTTTCATTTTATATTTCTAGGACTCAGGAATTTAGCACTTCTCCTGGACTCTTTGTATGCTTTCATGGCCCACGAAAAGGCTCTCCTGCCTCTTTGCAGACAGTTTCAAGGTGGATTGTCTCTGCTATTACTTTGGCTTATGACTTGGCAGGAAAGACTCCGCCAGAGTGCAAAAGCCACATTCCACGAGAGCTATGGCAATTGCTACAGCTTGGTTGCGTGGCGTTGAAGCTCCCTGCTGTCCGTCACCTAGTGTCTTGAGTGTGTTGGAGTCAGAGCCTTGACAGCGGCAGACATTCCGGAACTGAGGTATTTCGGGTGGGCTGAGCATGCGCGCCATGGGGCAACAGCCTACTAATTACGTCTTTTTAAGCTTTAAAATATTCTGAGGAGTCCTGTGCAGGTGCAGTAAAACCCATTTGTGTGGATTCACAGAGGACCACTCAAAGAACTATGGTTACAGGTAAGTAACCTCTCTTTATCTGGGGGTATCAGCTATGAAATGCATTGGGTATCAGAAAACAGAAGAAGAACTGATAGTGAATTTCTCTCTCTCTCTCTCTCTTTCTATAGATACAAAAAGTATGTAACAAAAAGCTTTGGGAAAGGTATACTCATAGGAGGAAAGAAGTTTCAGAAGAGAATCATAATCATGCTAATGAAAGGATGTTGTTCCATGGTATTCCACATTTTTTCTTTCATCTCAGTTACTGCTATTTTAATATTACCTGAACATCTAACTCTCAGATTTTAAGTTCAGTTCCATCTAATAATTAGAATACGTTTACAGTAGCTGGTTAAAAGAGTTTTCATGTTTATACCAAGGTTGCCTGAAAGGAAACAATTGTCCATGAGTTCTTAAACAGTAGGCCATGGTTAAGATGTTTAAAGACCTTCTGTTATAGATGTTATAATAAAAATATAAAAGGCAGTGTTCTGTTGCCATATGTGAATTATAACTTCCACATTCACTCTGCTCTATCTGTGGCTCACAATTGCCTGAGCCCAGAATTATTCAATTCACAGCAGTGGGGCTCTCCACTTCCCTGTTAAACAAGGAGAAAAGGAATTGGATGCAGAATAAATCATTCCATGTGCAGTTCAGAACAAACAGGTTACTGTCCAAAGAACTGTATTCAGCCATAACTACCTAACTAGGAATTGTCTTAAAAAGAAGGATGAGAAGCATGAAACATGAATGGCCAGTATTTCGGAAAGGTGCTAAGAGACATCAGGGAAGAACTTGCCGCATGACTGATGGGGATCTTATGGCCCACAGGCTGCATGTGATCCCGCCACCAGTTTTTGCAGCTCCTACTGCCATTGCCAGTTTAGTGCTGCAGCACAAGCATCCTGCAGTTTTCACTTGAAAGCAAGGAATACCAGAAGCTTTTAAAAGGCTGACAGAGGAGCATAATTCAGCTTAAAAATAAGAAATGCAATACTCTTGCCATGTTGCTCAAAAGTGAAATGGAAGGGGGGATTGGATGCAGCCCTGTTGCTTCAGGAGGTTAAATTATGTAAGAATTGCTGTATTTCACAGTAAAACTTTCAGGACAGTATATTCTCTGAATAGATGGCAGACCTTTATCTACAGCATGGCAATGTTTTCTGTTTTATTGTGCTTGCAGGCTCCCCTTTTGTGAATGCAATTATCCATAAAGGTTTTGATGAGAGACATGCTTACATAGGAGGAATGTTTGGAGCTGGAATCTATTTTGCTGAAAACTCATCCAAAAGTAATCAGTACGTATATGGCATTGGAGGTGGCACAGGTTGCCCAATTCACAAAGACCGATCTTGTTATATCTGTCATAGGTAAGTTCCAGTAATGGTACAGATTACAGTAAAATTTGGTAGTAGTAGTTTATTATTTATTCATTTATTTAGGGAAGTACTATGCTATTGATATAGGATCTTAGAGAGTCTTTTTGAAAGGCATAGGAGGCTGCAGCGAATCGGAGAGAGCAGGAAGTCCAGCTGTATGAGCAGCTTAGACTACACAGAAAGTAGATTCAATCCAATATCCACATCAGTTAAACAACTAGCTAGAAATGTATTTCTTCTTACCCTTCCCTTGTTTGATGCCCCATAAGTATCAACTGATATTTACTTGCTATTGAGAAATGAAGAGAGTTGCCAAATGAATACAAAGTGGTAGTGAATATGACATATTTATACTTGTACTTATGCCACACAGTAAGAATACTGATCTCTCACGATTTCAGAAGTAATAAAAAGGGCCTGAGTTACACAACCATCTTTCATAGTACAGTATTCTTACATTGTAACTCTTCTTACAACTTACCTGTCTGTTAGGAAACAGATCCCCCATTCATCGCTACCACTTATCATCATCATTATTACTTCTCTTGTTCAGTTTACCATTTGCCATATCAAATGACATATTTATTAATAAACAATGTATTTCCTTTAATACAGACAGTTGCTATTTTGTCGTGTTACACTGGGCAAGTCTTTTCTGCAGTTTAGTGCAATGAAAATGGCTCATTCTCCTCCAGGACACCATTCCGTTACTGGGCGGCCTAGTGTAAATGGACTAGCTTTAGCAGAATATGTCATCTACAGAGGAGAGCAGGTAGGAGTATGTTTTTGGTTTTAATTCCCAAATGCTTCCTTTTTAATTTGAATTTACCATACATAGCTGTTTTGGATTTTTATGCCCTGCTTTTTATAGTTGTTTAATGAGAAAGATACATGTTATTGAATACTACTACACATGTCTACTCAGAAGTCACTCCCACTGATACCAGGTGGGCTTTCAGTGGGCACAGTGTTGCAGCCCAAGACCTTTTCTTCTTTAAAAGTGGTACATACTTTTTTTCGTCATCCTCTACCTAATGATTTTCCCTCATAAGTATGAATGTCTGCTTGATAATATAGAAGAATAAGTTAGTCAACTTGTATTTTTCAGGCATATCCAGAATATTTGATTACCTATCAAATTGTGAAGCCTGAAGCCACCACAGAAGCGTGAACCTCAGAAGTTTTGTAGAGATTAAAGTGAAGAGTATTCAAATTGCAGAAAAAATTAATCTCTCCTCCATAGGCATTATGGTAAAAATGTGAATAAAATCTAACAGTTTAACATGGTAAAGCTTTAATAAATGTATAGTAAATTTTCTAAAGAAGAATTCTGAAACTTCCTTTTTCAGCACTTTAACAGATACCATTCCAGTGACACTGGGTTTGTCTGTACTAAATTATAAAACAGGTATTAACTTGAACTATGTTTTCTATAGCCTATGCCAGTGGAATCTAACAACTATTGCTATACAGGAACTCATTTTACTAATACTGTGTTCTTTAAAACACTGCATTTACAAAGTACAGTTACATTTGTAAAACTGTAAATAAGAGTTTTTCTACTAGCCTGGTATTTATTTACATTGTTTTTGTAATATAAATATTTCAGAACTGCAACTTATACAAACACTATGTTTATCCATCTGCATTTCATTCTGTGCAGTAGTTTGGAGCACCCCATAGTCAAGAAGGAAAAGCATACACTTGAATTTTATCTAAATAACCAAAATGTATTGAAAAAAATGTTCCACCAAATTGAAAGTCACATATATTCCCGAAAAAAACTAGGCAGAACATTCCAGATCTCGACAAACCCAGCAATTTTAAAATTTGAACTGAATATATATAGAGAGCTAAACAGTTGGGCATGCATTTCTTATGAAGGCAAGATGTTTTATAACAGACAATGCACACACACAACACCTACCTACTGCTACTCCTATCTGTTCTCTGTCTGGCATTACAAGGCTAAATGCAGAGAAGATATGAGATAAAATTTAAGCCTCCTTTTGCATGCAGGGCTCCTTGAGTGAAGTCTATGCTGATTGCACATTCCCACTTTTTTTGTTGGATGTGCATATAGTTACCTACCTATAAGTCATGTACATTTTGTAGACAGTGTCTAGATCTCTCATGAAAGGACAGCAAAGGAAGCAGCTACATCTTTTCAAGTCACAGACAGCTTCTTTACACACTTTCCTGATATCTGCTTTCCTTACTCAGTTTCTTCCAGGGTTAACCATCTGTTTCAAAGACTATTATGTAAATAAAAATCAAAAGCGATTTCATTAGTCCAATTTTAAATTAGTGTTTTGATTGGCATTCTTCAGGGTATAGGACTGTGACCCATAATTTCATTGTGGATCATTGTCGTGTTATGATTTTAGAATAATTGCCAAGACTGTTTAAACTCTGGCCTTTATGGCAATTCAAAACTTGAATCTTAAATAATTGGGTTACCTGTGATGCCTGTCTATGGAAAGTTATAAAAGCATGTAGAAAATAAGAGTGGACATTATTTTATGTGGTCATTGCTGCAAGCAATGTTAACAGTATAGTAGAATAAAAGGGGTCTTGATTTGTATGGTACTCTTTCATTGCATGTTTTCCACTCACTTGGCTTGGACGAATATTGGGACAAGTTATTCATGCAAAATCTGATTACTTTGATTTAAGCGTTTAGAACTTTGTTTCATTATTGGAAATATTTCATTCTTTGTGAATGATGATTTAGTGTGATGTAAATTATTGTGGTATTGGTAGCATTTGGTATGATACCACAAGGTATCTTTTTCTGAAGGCAAAAAACATAATGGTTTTGATTGTGTTCATTTGAGGTGAGATGCTAGCCTACCATGCAATTAATGCTTCACTCATCTTGAAAGTATCTTATATGTATTGTATCACATTCCATCCCACTCAACCCTAAATAAACTTTATTCACAATCTTTTTGGCAGCATATTACAAATTGAATTAATACAGCAGATTGTTATTCTTGGGGTCAACAATTTTTATTAAAGGAGACTTCAAATTAAACGGAACATACCACATTTTTCTACATTATACCATATATTTTCATGTATAAGATGATACTTGTCCCTAAAATATTTAGATTAAAAATTTAGGGTCTTATACACGGAAGTAAGACCCTAAATTTTGAGGACCCCCCTCCTCATTCGTCACAAGAAAGTGGAGGGGGGGAAGCAGGAATCATCAAAGTCCTTTGATTCCTGCTTTCCCCCTCCATTTTTTGCGAAGAAAGAAATTCTGGGTTAGAAAGGGTGGGGTCTTATACTATGTACAGTACCCGTATTATACACAGAAAAATACAGTACATAGCTGGAGACATTTCCTTGCTCTCCCCAAACACTTAAGACTTATTCATTATTTTAAAAAACCTCATACAGTATTTGAGAGTATAAAACAATAATAATACTGTTTGTTGAATAACTATGAAAGCAGAACAAGTGAGCGGAATTTTTCAAGTAGCAAGGTCCTTGGTAGAGAATGACACTTAAGAGACATTTGCAGCTTTTTTTCAGAGGAACCCATTTTTCCCAGTTGTCATACTTCTGGTTCAGCAGCCCAAGTCAGTGGGCAAAACCCTTTGGTGCAAATTTATGCCAGTGTAACCCAAATATTAGCCACTGGAAATATTTAATTTAAACTAATAGAAAGTGTACAAATCCCCCCCCCTTTTTCAGTTTCTGAGGTTTCCAGGACTCCTCTTTTTGCCCGAGGAAGTTCTTAGAACGGGGGGAGGGGGAACTTTTAATAATAAAAACTGCTTCAAGGGTTCTGCTGGGGCTCCCAATTGTGGTCCTATCAACATGGCAGTAATTGCTTACTATTAAAGCCCTCTTATCCCATGCCCAGAAGCTCCCAAAGGCTTCTCTAATGCAAAAGGTAACCCTAAGGAGACTTCTAAGAAGCTTTCATTTTGTCTAAATTAAATACTTCCAGTGCCTGATCCAGATTACACATGCATAAGTTTTTATTACAGAATTTTACCCAACCAGTAAAGTCATTGTAACTATTTTAGAAGATTTCCTTCCATTTTGTCGAGTTTAACTTATGATTTTTAAGATTTGCATATCTTGCTTAGAGAGGGTGGCCCTCTTTTATTAGAAATCCAGATTTGTCTAACTTTCGTTTAGTATTCTAATGCTGGGGATGGGCATAGCCAGCCATTTAAGCCTAATTATAAATTTTGAAATACTTCAGCTGTCAAATTGGGGTTTGTACCAGATGCCTAACGTAACGTTGACATTGCTGCAAGGTTTTCATGTACCCTGTATTTTCCTTTTTCTTGGTGTTATTCTCATGAAGCAATTTGGAATTCTGCTTCAACAAGAATTGATTGCTAACATTTGTGAAAATATCTGCTTTCATTTCTTGAAAAAAAAACTAGTGTACATACTTGGCATTGTGCAGCACAAGAGACATGGTGCTAGCAAAGAAGAAACCTGTAACTTTTGCAAAAAATAAACTCCATCCGAGGAGGAAAAAGTCTCTTGGTCCAAAACTGAGAACTTGAGCAGCTAGATTTGCACTAGGGGGCACCAGATTCCAACATGTTAACATAACGAGAGATGCATTCAGTAGGAGTCACAAACTAAATTTAACAGTCTTGGAACCTGATTGGAAGCTGCCAGAATTCTACTGGCAAAGCACTGGAAAAATTGAGTTAATACTCTAATAGTAAAATGTAATTAAAAATGTGAAACAGGCACTGGGAGTTATAATCAAGAATGGGTGAAGAAGAGTTATTTTATTCATGCCACTACTCTTCATCTCAAAACAATCTTGAAAGCTAGCTAAGAAATATAAAGGCTAAATATTCAATTTATTTTTACTGATAAAAATAATTATGTGCCATCAAGGTGAGACCAACTTATGGTGACCTCCCAAGGTTTTCTGGGTACAAAGGAATCAGACATGGTTTGCCAGTCTCTTCTTCAATTGGTCTCTCTTCTGGGAGGTACAGGGTAAAGCAAATATGTTTCCAACCTATTAAGTTGTGTTCCCTGAACATCTGTAGATAGAATGAGAATTGTTTCGCTGTTTTCCCACTTCCCTTGCATCCAATAGAAGATGTAAAATCTGTTCCTGTGCATGTGTTGTAATGCACACATGGGCTTTTCCAAAGTGAACTGGGTGCTTTTCAAAAAGAGTAGAAGTCCTTACACATTTCAGTGAACAAGCAGAGTATGGTGCAAAGCCAGAAGGCCAATTCTAATCTCTATGCATTCATGAAAAGCAGGAGACCCTTTTGAAAGGATATCTGGGGCTCTGTGTACTGGATGAATATATGTATGTGGTGTTGCAGATTCCCTTCCCCAAACACACTCTAACTGGAACCTATACTGTAATGTGCATATAGTCCTTGCAACTTGTGGCCTTGTTTTGCACATTCTTTAAAAGCCCTAAGATGGAATAGGAAGAGGATGCATACCTCTAGATTGCTTAGGAGATCAGGAACAATGATGGGTGAGGAGAAGCAGGATATTCAGTACCAGCACCCTTCCTAGTTTTATTGACATTTAACACATCAAACTAAGCATGTTTCTGAAGGGGCTATAACTGGAAGTGTAAGAAGACCTGAATCTTCCTCAAGGACTATAAATTATTTCCATTTATTAAAATGTTACAATGTTTACAACATGTACTCTTTCCTCCCTTTGTCTCCTGTACCACATTGGCACCCTCCAGCAGCTGGTTTTGCTTGTTAGTCTGTCTAGAAGACACCACTACCAGGCAAAATCTGCTGTCTTCTGCTTCCTGGATCATGTATTTGACCCTCAGCATTCAAACATGTATCTTATTTTGAAATATTGTGAAAACACTTAAAATATGTAGTAGATTTTAGTATCTGTATTTAGAACCTATTTTTCCGGTATTATTAGGCAAAATATGTAAGTGAACACCTTGGACAATTAACATTTGCTTTCATTAAGCATGTGGAAATTTTGGCCTTTGAGGAAAAGGGATAAGTTTTTCTCCCACTATGCTCGTGTTATAGTCACATGTGTTTTGAACTGAAACAGGAGCCATAATTACATATAAGACATGCAGAAATTTTAGTTCAAAGCTTGGAAGTAACTGACTAGAAAAAAAATGATTACTTTTGTTTAAAAAGCCAACATATTTGCTTTACCATTACAGTAACATCATTGTTTCAATTTTGAACAAGTACCATTTATCATTACTATAAGTTTTTATATTTGAAGGAATTTGGGATCATTTTGAGTATTCTTATTTTTGTGTAAAAGGAACATGATAGTAATGTTAGTAGTTGTTTTTAAAATTAAAACCGTTCTTAGTCATGATAAAGGATTGCTTTTTAAAGTAGCACAAGTATGTTACCGTTAAAAGTAATGGTCAAAATCCTATTGCTTAAAGCCACCAGTGTAATGCAATTGGTATAAATCTCAGCAGCAAATTACCACTCACCATATACATTTAATGTTGCCCTGTAGCAGAAGCCATGTTGGCTTCTTAACTTGCAACAATTAGCCACTGAGATTTATGCTGATTGTGTTATCGCAGTGTAACAATGTAAGAGGATTTTGGCCAATGTTTGTAAGCTCCTTTATTTGAGACTGGTCTGTTAGGTGTGAGTAATCAGGCTACTCCAGTAATGATTTTCCTTATCTTGGTATAACCCAGCAGTGGCCCTAATCTGTGAGAAAAATAAATCAAAGAAATAAATGCTGCAAACGAAATGAGGTACATCCCCTGCTTCGATCGTGAATAATAAAATGGCAGTGAGACCCTGCTGTGGCTCTTCACTGTCATCAAAGGTGTGCTGATGGTGGTGCACTGTTCAGAGTTGGTCATGTTAACTCAGCAGCAAGGAAGAGGCAAAAACAATGTAACTCCCTTGACACTTGAGCAACATAATGAGTACTGTACCCAACTTTAACATCTCCAACAGTTTGAATTAGATTTATGGTTTCCTCTTGACTACTCTGGAATTATATTTAATTAAATTTTGCACCTTCAAGTTGATTCTGACTTACAGCGACTCTTTTCAGGAGTTTTTAGATATGGCGGCCCTAAAATGGTTCACCAGTCTCTTCCTAACTTGCCTCAGGCTGCACAGACTGTCTGTTCTACAAGATACCATAGGAGAGCAAATGCCTGACTCCTAGCTCCACAGCCAGGTGCTCCAGTTCATTGAGCTATTATTACTCTCTATATACCATCATTTTTCCCCCAGGCTCTCCTCAAAACCTTCCTGTTCAATATTGAGACCTAGGAGTGTGATTACATGGTCATTTAGCCCACTGTTTGGTCCATTGTGGGGACTGGCTGGTTCATCTGAATATACTGATCAGATGATGTATTTGCTAAAGCAAAGCAGCCTGTCCCCAGAACATTCCTACCTTCACCATACTTGGTCTCTGTCAGGGTTTCTACTTTTTTGGTGTCTGTGGGATCACTATTTTAGTTATTTTCCAGCATATGCAATTGCTGGAAATGAACCAGAGCAAGCCTTCAAGCTGTCAATTTTCCTTCCTCTTTGAATTTCTTCTTTGTATTTACCATATCCCACGGTAAGTACTTGATGATAGATTCAGCTTTGAGTAGGCTCCAAGCAGATGCTTTCACTTTTTCTTTTATTTATTTTTTGTAAGTGATGCATTAAGAATGCCCTAATATCAACTGTGAGTCCTGATGGCAATTTTTAGAGCACTGTATTTTTAATTGTATTTTAATCGTTTTATCTTTTGATTGTATTCAAATTGTTGTAAGCCGCCCAAAGACCTTTGAGTAGTATGGGCGGCATGTAAGTTAAATATTTATTTGTTTGTTTATTTATTTATTTATTTTATATCCCGCCTATCTGGTCGGGTGAGGACCACTCTAGGCAGCTAAATAAATAAATAAATAAAACAATTTAAAAAGAATGTTTAATTTCCCAGTCTTGTAAAATGGCTGTCT